GAAAATATATTAATCGTAAAGGCCCGCGGAGTTACATTAAAAAAAAAAGATAAAACTAAAAGATATGAAAGACAACACGAATAATAATTGTAAGATCTTCCGGATATTACAGGATCTACAAAATTTATAAGATCTGAATTATCTATAAATGTAGGTTAGCTAAATTCTTCAGGGGATGTAGTGCTTCTAGAAGGTACTAAAGAACTTGATGGATCTAAACGATATAAAGGCCCTACAGGATCCTAAAATATCTTCTAAAAGATGTGGAAGATATTTTAGAAGATATTTAGATATAAAGAATATAAAGGGTCTGCAATATTTAAAAGATGTGAACGATTTAAAGAATCTAAACAATCTAGAAGACTTAAGGATTTAGAGGATAGACTTTCTGAGGATTTTAAAGGGTATAAAAATGTGAAGATGGTAAGGACCTCACACATCTAAAGAATTTGAAAGGCGTCAAACAGTCAAAGGATCCGAAGGATTTATATTAAGACCCACCACTGACCCGGAAATGACCGGCATTCAGGCAAGACTTCTATCATTACGGGTACTAAGACCAAGTAATGATATGCATTATATTATTATTATTATTATTATTATTATTATTATTTAATTAAATTGCCCAACGGAGAAAATTCCATTTACAGGGCAAGGTTAGAAGTAATGAATATTAACAAACAAACAAGAAAATTGGTGAAAGAATTCAATGTAACTAACACAGCAAGAAGTGTTCACGAATCCTATTGAAGGAATTTAATCTAAAAATATCTACAGCGTGTTCAATATTTTCGTAATTTGTAATCATTCGATAGATAGGAGAGTTAGATAGAATGTTCGTTTTGAACTTTGATATAAAGAAAATATTATGAAGCCTTTTATTAAATGCTGGAACTGCAAAGTTTATATTATTTAGTAGCTCTGGACTATCGATTAGGTAGTGAATTAATTTAAATAAGAAAATTACAGAAAAATACGATCGCCTGGAAGACAGAAATGGGAGGTTTATACGTTTAAGAAGTAAATCTTCTGGGTAACCTCGAGGTGGATAAACACCGTCCATCAAGAATAATGCAGATTTAGCAAAACGACGTTGCACTTTCTCAATTGATCTTATGTGTATATTATAATTAGGTGACCACACGACACTCGCGTATTCCAACTTTGGACGAACAAACGTCTTGTATAATAAGATGAAAACATTAACATCAGAGAAATGTTTTGCATTTCTTGTGACAAAACCCAAACACTTGAAGGCGGAGGACACAATTGTATTTACGTGTTCACGAAAGTTTAATTCACAGTCAAAGGTCACTCCCAGATCCTTATGTGAGTTACGTCTCTCTAACGCAGTACACTCAACTGTGTAGTTAAATATTATCGGATTTTTCTTCTTTGTAAATGACATCGAATAGCATTTCTTTAAATTTAGCGGTAGATTATTAAGAGTACACCATTCGTTAGTTTTTAGGATATTATTTTGAAGTCTAACACAGTCCTCAATGCTATCAATTTTCAAAAACAATTTAAGGTCGTCTGCAAACAATAAGTAGTTGACATTCAAATCACATACAATATCATTGACAAACAATACAAAAAGCATAGGGCCCAAAACAGATCCCTGAGGGACACCAGAAGACTGTTCAAAATTATGAGATCTATATCCATGACACTGTACATATTGATACCTATCCTTTAAGTAAGATTTAAAGAGATTCGTCAGACCATTTGAAAATCCATACGACTTCATTTTAGATAATAATATTTGGTGATCTATTCGGTCAAACGCCTTCGAAAAATCCGTGTAGACCACGTCCACCTGACCCGACCTGTCAATATTCTCACAAAGATGTTGTGTCAATGAAACTAAATTTGTAACAGTGGACCTACCAGCCATAAATCCGTGTTGGTGGATGGATATCATACTAGCTATGTGATTATATATTCTCTTATGGAGTATTAACTCAAAGACCTTACAGAAATTGTTAATGATAGCAATCGGTCTGTAGTTTTCAACTTCAGATTTATTCCCTTTCTTAAAGATGGGACAAACAGGTGACGTCTTCCAGCTGTCAGGAAAAACCGCAGAACTAATTATTTTATTGAAAATTGATGTTAATGGTCCTAGAAAAATGTGCTTACAGTCAGATATTAGAAAAGCAGGAATTAAGTCTGGGCCAGCTACCATGGTAGGTTTTATGTTATTTAGAGCCTGTAATACTTCAGCCTGCGTAATACTGGATAACGATAACACATTCAATGAGTCAAGATTCATATCAGGGTAGTCACTACAAAGGGGATCAGAGAAAGAACTCGAGAAATACTTCGCAAAACCGTTAGCTATCTTCTGAGGGCTATCTAAACTAGAGGACCCATAACTCATAACACTTGGTAAACCACCAGACCGGGAGATTTTGTTCATATATGAAAACAGCTTTTTTGGATTCGTTTTTATATTATCCTTAATTACTTGTAGGTAATTGGAATAGGCATCTCGTATCTCCCTTTTCAATTCAGACCGTAGTTGTTTAAACTTATTGCCGTATTCTTCGTCACCAGTGGCTTTATACCTTTTCCACAATTTATACTTTTGTTTAAGACGCAAAATGATGTTTTTATTGTACCATTCAGGAAAAGCGGCCATAGAGTTATTTTTATAGGGAATATGTTGTGCAAAGATTATCATTAGTTGGTCATAGAAGACATTGACCATGTCATTGCTGTCCAAAACCGTATTTAAAAAGTTCCAATCTACCTTTAATAAAGCAGCATAAAGACCCACAAAATTGGCCTTTTTAAAGTTAAACTCATTTAGGTTTGTGGCGCAGGATTTTATAGTTTTTGATGTTTCAAAACTAATTCCAATTTCTAATGCAGGGTGATGTTTGTCCTCCGGTAAGATTATTTCACTAGCTTTGCAAACTGTAGGAAATTTATTACTAAACACCAAGTCGAGAAGTCTACCCATTGAATTTGCAATACGATTAAATTGTTTTAATTCAAAATAGTTAATCAAGTTATTAATAATATCAAACTTTACGGAGTGTGTATTACATTCTTCACAATTAAGAAATTCCGAGATATTAAAGTCACCAATAACTATAAGATCAGACCCATATATGCAATTCAATGACATGAGTATATCAGAGAACACAGCAAAATCATCACAGGTACTGTTCGGTGGTATATACACAGTGAGTATATATATAATTCGATGTTCAAAAAATACCTTAACAAGAAGTAAATCAATTATAGAATCTAAAATGTCTCAAAAGTTTAAAAGATCTACAAGATTTGTAGGAGCTGGATTATCTACGGATGTAGGTAAAGCCTCTACAGGATCTCAGGGGTCTAAAAGATGAGCAGGACTTCACAAAATGTTCAAATAGTCTAGATTATCTGACGAATTTAAAGGATCTAAATTGGCTAAAGTTTCAAGGGGATTTAGTAGGATCCTAAAGACTTAAAGGCTCTATAGTATCTCAATGATCTAAAAGATGTGAAATATCTCAAACAGCCAAAGAATTTGAAGAATTTAAAGAATCAAAAATATCTCAAAACATTTCGAAGATCTCGAGGATTTACAGGGTAGTATTTGTTAAGATACGACTGATTTTGGCAGATGACATACCTTATAAGAAAATAAAGGGCGGGTGGGCGGGGCTAGTACATCCTAAGATACGACTGATTTTGGCAAATGACATACCATCTAAGAAAACAGAGGGGGGAGGCCAGCAGCACTAAAACTCTAGAGGCCTCTGAGATCTTTAAGCTTCTTCAACAACAAACACTTCCGAAATTCTTTAAGCTTCTTCAAAAACAAATTAGGAATCTCCCGAGAAACTTTTTCAAAAATAAAACACTAAAGGTCCCCCAAGATTCTTTGAAACTCTTCAAAGCCAGGGACCAGCACCAAATTTCTTGTAAAAGTAAAAAATTGAACGATCCTGGGATTCTTTGAATTTATTTAAAAATAAAATACAAAACATCGGGTTCTTCTGAGATTCTTTAAAATCCTTTCAAAAATAAAACAACGGATGCTCAGGAGATTCTTTAAATTTCTTCAAAATCAAAACACCAGGAGCTCCGTAATTCTTTTAAATGCTTTAATAAACAAAACATCGGGTGCTACTGAGATACTTTAAATTCTGTCAAAATAACAACAGCAAAGTCTAATGGAATGATAATTCTCATATGTATATAAATTGAACTTGCCATATTTCCAACAGTTTTGAAGAGTTACTGCCGACATGTCGATATTCTCTGATAATAATCTTGATGAAATAACGTCAAAAAAGATGCGTTGTTTAATAAGTGTTAACGAATTAGAAAAAACGAATAATCCAACACTTGCTAACTTTGTTAACAATTGTCGACTAATTTTTATTTACTATGTCAACTTTCAGCAGGCAATTTTTAACTGAAATGATATAAAAATCAGTTAGTTTGCATCGCAAATTCAATAAAAACATGGAATGTAATTTACTACCTTTTGGAATATTTGTGAAAGCTTCTGCAGGAATTGTTTCCAGAGAATTATACGAAAGTGAAATCTTCATTGGTCGTTCTCCACAGAACCAATTACTATCCCATTCTTTCAGTTTGTTCTGATCAATATCAACATAATATAAATCCTTCATGTCGTCAAAAGCTTTACTTGCTATGAAAGAAATTTCGTTCTGGTTCAAGTCAAGGGATCCGATTTTTGAACTGTTGAAAACTCCGTCTGGGATTTTCTTTAATTTGTTTCCTGACAGCGATATCTCTTTTAAGTTAGGCAAATTACGCAAGTCACCTGGACGAAGTACAGAAATGGAATTGTCTGACAACGTTAAAGTAATAGTATAACAGAGGAGTCTGTTTCTGCAATACTGTTGTTCGATAAATTCAAAGTTATTCCATCTTCATTGCTTGGAAACACAGCAGCAAACGTTCCAACCTCTTTTCGTATTATAGAGCAGTCGTGTTTACATGAACGGAAAATAATTAAACAAAAAAAATTTTCTTTAACACAAAGTTTTATTTTGACAGATCGTACTCAACCTGTAACAATTTGCGAACAATTGGTGAGATAAATTGTGTGTGCTTTAGGAGCCAGTGAACCTGAACCATTTTCAGGACACTTAATTTTATTATCCGTTAAGTCAACGAAATCTTCAACTTCCACATTTTTCAAAAGGTCAACATTCCACTCTTCTATTTCGTTGTGACCCAAATCAATCCCCTCCAATTTGGTCACACCAGTGAAAGCACTGTCGGAAATACTCTTGATACGGTTGTGGTCTAGGTATAACATAGTACCCTCTGGAATATTCGTGAAAGCTTCTGCCGGAATTGTCTCCAGAAAATTAGACGAAAATATAATCGACAATCGTCGTTCTCCACGGAACCAATTACTATCCCATTCCTTCAATTTGTTATTATTAAGACTAACATAATACAAGTGTTTCATGTCGTCAAAAGCTTTACTTGCTATGAAAGAAATTTCGTTGTGGTTCAAGACAAGGAATCCGATTTCTGAACCGTTGAAAACTCCCTCTGGGACTTCCTTTAATTTGTTTCCTGAGAGTGATATGTCTCTTAAATGAGGCAAGTTACGTAAGTCACCTGGACGAAGCACCGAAATGGAATTGTCTGACAACGTTAAAATAATAGTATGCTTGTAGTCAAAAACAGAAGAATCTATTTCAGCAATACTGTTGTTTGATAAATTCAAAGTTATTCCATCGTCATTCCTTGGAAACACAGTATCAAACGTACCAACCTCTATTTTCGAAATATTATTTGACCATAAATCGATCCGTGTCACATGCAAATCTTGAAAAATTCCTCGCTTTAGTTCTTGTAAATTATTCTTTTCAAGACTTAACTCTTGAACATGTGATAAGTTCACGAACGCTTTTTCTTGTAGGAGCGAAATCGAATTCCCTGGTAGGGACAAATACTCAACTTTCAAATTCACAAAAGTTCCACTTTTAATTTCCTGCAAATTGTTACTACTCAAATCTACGCTGTCTAACTCTGGCAGATCTTTGAAAGTTCCAGGCTCAATTTCCTCTAAGTTCGTCCCATAAACGTTGATTCCACGTAATTTGGGTATACCCTTGAAGGAATCTTCGTACAGAATTTTCACTGACCCTTTGACTTCGATGCGTTGATTCTGCTCGCCATCTCCAGGACAGATTTCTTTGATTTGATGGGTGGAAGCGTTTTTGACCACTTGTGTTTGTTCCCAAGAATCTTCACCGGAATGGTAACAAGTTATGACGACACCGTCGGGAGTTGCAGGCACAAAGGATAACTCAACAATTAGAAAAATAATAATGGGTTTGAAGCTCTTCATGACTGGGCTTCTTTGAGTGTTTTTAACGCTCTGAACATGTCTGCATTCTCGCGTTATATATATATACAGAAAAATGATAATCTTCTGACACTGTCGATGGGTGTTTGATTTGACCTGCGATGATCCCACCCAATTAAAATAATTCTTCTTAATGTTTTTAAATTGTCGATATTATTTAAGCTTGTAAAAAATCATTTCCCAGAAATACATTTTCTTTTAATTTAGATATTAATTATGAAAATCTTTAAATTAAAAAAAAAAACGTATCCGTGGTTTGGTTAGTTACACTGTCACCAACTAAGTACAAAATAAAAGATAATGACGAAACTCTTCATTATCAGACTTTCTGCAATGTTATATAACTTTACAATGTAAATATTGTCCATAATAGTGCACAAGCAAAAAACTGATGAACTTATGACACGACTTTGGGTTATCTTGGCAATGTTTTGCGAAGATCAAAATAACAATTTTTTATAACACCTAGAAGTGTAGGCGAAGGTTGCAGCCCGACTTGTTTCATTTAAAAATTACTTACTGAGAACTTGTTTGACCTACAAACCAGAGCGCACTCAAGCCAATATCGACTATAAGCCGACTTTCGGTAGAGCTGATCTGATTCACATCCGCTACGAGGAACTTAAAATTTGTCACCAACAATAAAGTTACGTAATCTCCAAATTTTACAGTCGTATATGTACCTAATTTAAATTTTATATCCTCCGCTTATGGGTTAATGAATCCGTGTTGAGTTTTTACCTTAGACGTCATGATTTTTCGAAAAAAATCAACATTTCCAAATTTATAGTTATTGGAAGCATGTTAAATCGTTAGTCAAAATAATACTTGTTGTTTATAAATACGCTAATGAGACTTTTCGGTTTTTCGAATTCTCGATTTTTCAACTGTAGGTAGATGTCTCCATTTTTCAATATTTCAATTCTCGGCTTTTTCAATTTTTCCATCCTTCAAATTTTCAATTTATCAATTTTTTTTCAATGCTACGATTTCTCAATTTTTGTCCTCTTCAATTTTACGATTTTTAAATAAGTAATTCGAGTTTTCAAATTTTGACGTTACTAAATTTTCAGTTTTCCGATTTCCGAACTATTATTGTTTTTTTATTTTCCTATTTCTCGACTTCCCAAAGTTTGGATTTTTTCAATTCTTCAATTTTTCGATTTTTTATGCTTACGATTTTTCCACTTTGCATTTTAGTTTTTCAATTTCTCACTTTTCCAATTTTTTAATTTCTCAATTTTTTTGATATTTCTTTCAGGTTTGGAATTTTTCAATATTGTAAGGAATGCGGTAGTGTCGCAAACACAAACGAAATATTGCAATGTTAACAAAGTGCCAACTTCCGTACATCCCTCTGGCGAAATCAGGTGGCATAATGTTTAGGTTAATGAAATAGTAAAGTTAGCAATATTTAGTTTATTTAAGGCGTGTGTATGAATTGGGAGTAAGAAGAAGCAGAAGTAGAGTGATAGAAGTAGTTATTGTTAGTGTAGTAAAGAACAGTGAAATAAATTTTGTGAAAGTGAGTTGTTAGTATGTTTCCACCCTGGTAACCACCCATCAGGGGATTCATGGTAAACAGAGGTTATCACAATATTTCCATTTTTCGACTTTCCGATTTTTGGACTCCTGGATTTTTTACTATTTGAATTTTCAATTTTTCGTTAAACTTTACATTTTTTAATTTTTCGACTGTTTTGTACTTCGATTTCTCAATTTGTCAACTTTTCGATGTTTTAATTTTTCAATTTTTATAATTCTAGGTTTTTGGATTTCTCGAGTTTTCAGTTCTTCTATATTTCAGTTTTTCAATCTTCCGAATTTTTAAATTTTCGATTTTCCAATTTTTTGATTTCTCGATTTATCGAATTCAGATATTTCCATGTTTTGATTGTTCAGTTTCTCGATTTATCAATTTTTCAATTTTTGACCTCTTCTCGGCTTTCCATTCCTCCATTTCCCGATCCTTTGACTTTTCGATTTCTCGACGTTTCGATTTTTCAGTTATCCGATTTTTCAATTTTTCAAATTATGGAGTTGCGATTTTTCAATTTTACGACATTTTAATTAATTAATGTTTTAAATTTAAAATTTTTCGATTTCTCGATTTTTCGATTTTTTAAATTTTGACGTAGCTAAATTTTCAGTTTTCCGATTTCTCAGTTTTTGGATATTTCTTTCAGTTTTGGGATTTTCCAGTATATTGATTCTCCGATTTTTCGATTTTTCCACTTGTGGATTTTTCGATTTGTTACTTTTCGGATTTTCAGTTTTTCGTTTTTCGACTGTTTGATGTTCCGATTTCTCAATTTTTCAACTTTTCGATAGGTAGGTATTTTAATTTTTCAACTTTTAAAATTCTACATTTTTCAATTTCTTCTACATGTATTTTAATTTTACATTTTTCCGAATTTTTAAATTTTCGATATTTCAATTCAAGATCTCGACTTATCAATATTTTCATTTTTAACTTTTCGATTTTTCGATTTTGGCCTATTCCAGTTTTTCGGTTTTTCGATTTTTCGACTTCTTAACTTTCGAATCCTCGATTTCTCGTTCTTTTGATTTTTCGGTTTCTCGATTTCTTAGTTTTTGAATTTTTCAATGTTTCGATTTTTCGATTTGTTTGTTTTTCGATATTTTATTTTTCGGCTCTTCCATGTTTCGTTTTTTGAATCATCCGATTTTTCAATTTTCCAATTTCGATTTCTCGATTTGTTGATTTTTCAGTTTTTCGATTTTTAAATTTTAGATTTTCGAAGTTTTATTTTTTTGATTTTCAATGTTTCAATTCCTCCATTTTTCAATTTTTCAATGTTTAAAATTTTAGATTCTTCGATTTTTCAGTTCTTCAATATTTTTTAATTTTTGAAATTTTGACGTTTCTGAATTTTCAGTTTTCCAACTTCTCAATCTATTTTTTTGATTTTCCCATTTCTCGACTTTTCAGTTCTTTAATTCTGCGATTTTTCAGGTTTTTAATTGTGAGATTTTTCGATTTTGCTTTTTTGCCTTTTCGATTTCCCACTTTTTCAATTTTTTAAGTTCCCAAAGTTTGGATATATTGTTCAATTTTGTGATTTTTCTGTTTTCGGATTCTTCAATTTTTCTTCTATTTGTTAATTTTTCAATTTTCCAATTTATCAATGTTTCGATTTTTCAGTTAATCGATTTTTCAATTTTTTAAATTCTGAAGTTTCGATTTGTCGATTCTTAAATTTTAGATTTTCGAATTTTTATTTTTTGATTTTTTGATGTTTGGGTTTCTCGATTTTTCAATTTTACGACCTTTTAATTGTTCAAGGTGTTAAATTTTAGATTTTTCGATTTCTCGATTTTTTGATTTTTTAAATTTTGACGTATCTAAATTTTCAATTTTCCGATTTCTCAGTTAATCTAGTTTTGATATTCCCATTTCTCGACTTCTGGAACTTTCGATTTTTCAGTTCTTCAGTTCTCCGATTTTTCGACTCTGCTTTTTTGGTTTTTCGATTTCTCAATTTTACAATTTTTTGATTTCTCAATTTTTTGATGTTTCTTTCAGTTTTGGGATTTTCCAGTATTTTGATTCTTCGATTTTTCGATTTTACCATATTTTAATGTTTCAATGTTTTAGATTTTAGATTTTTCGATTTTTCAGTTCAATATTTTTTAATTTTTAAAATTTTGACGTTTCTGAATTTTCAGTTTTACAACTTCTCAATCTACTTTTTTGATTTTCCCATTTCTCGACTTTTCAGTTCTTTAATTTTGCGATTTTTCAGGTTTTTAATTTTGAGATTTTTCGACTTTGCTGTTTTGCCGTTTCGATTTCCCACTTTTTCAATTTTTTAATTTCCCAAATCTTGGATATTTCGTTTAATTTTGTGATTTTTCAGTTTTCAGATTCTTCAATTTTTCTTCTATTTTTCAGTTAACCGATTTTTCAATTTTTAAATTTTAGATTTTCGGATTTTTATTTTTTGATTTTTTTGATGTATGGGTTTCTCGATTTTTCAATTTTGCGATATTTTAATTGTTCAATGTTTTAAATTTTAGATTTTTCGATTTTTTGATTTTTTAATTTCCCAATTTTTTGGTATTTCGTTCAATTGTGTGATTTTTCAGTTTTCCGATTCTCAGCAATTTTTCTTCTATTTTTAAATTTTTTGATATTTCAGTATTGGGATTTTTTTGTATTTCGACTTTTCGATTCTTTAAGTATTGGATTTTTCGATGTCTCGACTTTTTACGTTTTGGATTTTCAGTTTTTCGTTTTTTAAACTCTAGATTTTTCAATTTTACAACACTTTTATAGTTCCATTTCTCAATTTTTCAACATTTCGATATTTTAACGTTTCAATTTTTAAAATTTTATGTTTCGATTTTTCAATTATCCGATTGTTCAATTTACAATTGAAGAATTAAGTCTTAGTTAAACAAAATAATAGTTGGATGTCAACATCGAGTGAAACATGTGAGAAGTGATATTATCTTTGTAAATAAACGCATCTAAATAATAACATTTCCCGCAGAAATTCTAAACGCTTAGAGGCGACATTAGCCTGAGCACCCTCCGGTCTGTGGATCAAACAAGTTCTCAGGCGACGATATATTTTAAAAGAAAACAATATCTTACTCAAAAAAATTTTGTCTAGGACTTTTAAATCTGTATCTAAATATTTTAAAGCTCACAATTTTCAAGATAAAGCTCCATTGAAAATTATCAATCCAGAAGAAACGATTAATAAAAAATATCAAAATTCAAAATTTCGTATCCACTGAAAAATAATTATTATTAGCGCAAGTATTTGGGCACGATTGAGTCTAATAAACTGTACAGAGTATCATCAAATGTTCTGATAATTCTGTAAAAAAACATTTTCATTGTATAATATATAGTTTATTAATATTTGTCTTTTTGATAAGTTGCAAGGTCACAAGTTATAATTACACCAACTGCAAACACAAACACTGATGATGAAGCTCTTCATTATCACGCTTCCTGCGATGTTATATAACTTTTTAATACAAATATTGTCTAGCAAGCAAAGACTGATAAACGTGTGACACGACTTTGGGTTATCGTCGACAATGTTGTTTCGGAAATCAAAATAACAATTTTAAAATCTAACTATATTTAAAAAATAGAGAATAATGAAACAAAAAATATAACACTGTTTTCGTTTGAGGTCAACAAATCAGACAAAATTATATTTTAAAAATATTCTGAAGGGCATGCACTGATATGGACAAATGCCGCTGTAGGAGCCAGAGACTTTGACCCATCTTCAGGACACTTAATGTTGTTACCCCTAAGATCAAGTTCTTCGATTTTAACATTTTTCAGAAGGTCAGCACTCCACTCTTCTAGTTGGTTATTTCTCAGCAGAAGGGTGTCAATATTTGTCGTGCCACTGAAAGCACTGTCCGAAACACTCTTGATCTGGTTGTTGTTTAGTTCCACGATACATCCATTTGGAAGATTTTTGAAAGCTTCTGCCGGAATTGTCTCGAAAGAATTGGACGAAAGCGAAATTAATATACTCTCAGTACCACGGAACCAGTTCCCATTCCACTCTTTCAATTTATTGTGACGAATCTCAACATTGTCCAGATTTTCCATGTCGTGAAAAGCGTTACTCGCTATGACAGAAATTTCGTTCACGTTCAGTATAATTTCTACAATTGACGTGCCAGAGAAGACTCCCTCCGGAACTTCTTTTATTTTGTTTCCTGTCAGTATTATCGTTTTTAGAGAAGGCAACTTACTCAAGTCACCTGGACGGAGTACAGAAATAGAATTACGTGATAAGTCTAAAACACGCATGTCCTTGTTGTCAAAAGCCGCGGGATCTATTTCTTCAAGTCGGTTGTTGTTTAATGTCACATTTAATCCATACTTATCATGTGGAAACAACCCAGCCAAAGCTCCAGCCTCTATTTTCGAAATTTTATTTTTCCCCATTCTCAAATACCGAACATAGACGTCTTTGAAGGCCCCTCGCTTTAGTTCTTCCAAATCGTTGTTCTCAAGATACATTTGTCGAACTTGGGTTACATTCTGGAAAGCTCCCTCGTGCAGAACCGAAATCGAGTTCCACCACAAGAAGAAATACCAAACCCTGAGATTCACAAAAGTTCCACTTTTGATTTCGCGAAGATTGTTACCTTTCAAACGAATGGCGTTCAACTTTGGCAAATCTTTGAAGGTTCCAGGTTGAATTTCTTCTAGCTCCGAATCGTCCATTGCGATTTCAAATAGGTTGGGGATGGTTTTGAGAGAATCTTCGGACAGGGTTTTCATCGAGCGTTTTACTTTGACGCGCTTCGCATCATCAACATTTCCATAGCAACTTTCATTTGGATTGTCGGAGTCGAGGTAACAGTCAATCACGGGTTTGCTGTTGCTGACTTCGAGCACACAGAATAAATTTACTGTGAGAAAAATAACGGCTGTGAGGGTTTTCATGATGTTTCTAACACTCTGATCTGCAACTTGTTTGTCGCGCTATATATAGGCAGAAAAAGTGATAATCTTGTGACATTTGACGACGGATTAGAGAAAAAGAAACAAACAACGAATTTAACTTTCAAAATTTTCCACACGAATTACCAGGATAGAACTAATAAAAGTTCTGGTTTCTTGAAATTTGTTCTAACCAAAAAAGGAACTTTGGAATAAATCGTTACCCAAAATTTTGACTTGTTTATAATGGAATTTTGAATTTATTTGGCACTCCGTTTACAGTAATATATCTTGTTATCACCAAAATAATTCCATTGGAAAGCATTTCTACGGTTGTTTAACGTTGTGCGAATCTTTGGTGAAGCAATTAATTATTTAAAAATACAGCGATAGTGCAGGTTTTGACACCATCGTTAGGTTATCGCAAGGTATTATTTCTGGTTTAAGCCAAAATATTTTCTTGTACAAGTAACGAAAATATCTAACAGTTTGCTAATTATAGTACGTTATTTTGATTATGTATTTTAGTTTATGAGTGCTGTTGTATAATAAACGTCATTATTATTAAACAAAGAAAAAAATTGGTCGAAGGTCAATTCGACCGAACTTCGTTTTTTTTCGCTTTTGTCAAATTTTCCCTTTCTTCAGTTGTCGATTGCGATACTTCAATTTTTCATTTTTTTTTGTTTCTCCAATATTTAAAGTTTGCAATTTTTCGATTTAAAATACCTACTTGGAATTTTCACGTCCTAATTTTTCAATTTTTCGATTCTTTAATTTTCCATTTCTTCAAATTCTCAAACGTCAACTTTTCCTTTCGTTTTTTTATTTTCTTTCTTTATACAATTTTTCGACTTTCCAATGTTTCGATTTTATAATTTGTTTTTTCAATTTTTCATTTTACTTCATTCTTCAATTTTTAGATTTTGCAGTTTTTCGATCCATTAAATTTTTCATTTTTTCAAATTTTCAGTTAGCAATTTTTAGTTTCGGTTTTTTTATTTTCTTTAGAAATTTTTACAAATTTTGGTTTTCTACTTGCATTTTCTCAATTGTTCGTTTCTTCAGTTTTTCGATTTGCAACGTCTAAATTTTTCATTTTTTTATTTCTTCAATTTTACGAGGTAAAATTTTTCCAGTTTTCATTTTTAAAATTTTCACTTTTTCGATTTTTCGACTTTTGGATGCTTCAATTTTTAGATTTGCAATTTTTCGGTTTTCAATTTTTGATTTATCTTTTTTCTAGTTTTCATTTTGAATGTAAAAGTAATTACAATTTTTAAAATTTTTCACTTTCCATTTATTGGATTTTTCACGTTTTTCGAGATTGGGTTTTTCAATTTTTCACTTTTCAATGTTAGATACAGTTTTTCGACTTTACAATTTGGACGATTCTATAATATTTTGATTCAACAATTTTTTGGTTTCCAATTTTTCGATTCGATACGTTTTTTTTCTTTCCAATTTTTCGATTAGGTAATTATTTTTTTTTCATTTTTCAGTATCTCGATTTTTAGATTTTCAGTGTTTTAATTTTTAGTTTTCAGTTCATCGATTTGCAATTTTTCGATTTTCCACTTTTTCCATTTTGCAGTTTTTCGTTTTTTCAGTTGTTCGATTTTTCAGCTTTTGGATACTTCAGATTTTACATTTGTAATTTTTAGGTTTTCAATTTGTCCGATACTCTAACTTTTAGATTTTTTAATTTTTCGTTTTTCCAATGTTACATTTTTTAGTAGGTATCGCGATTTTAATTTTTTCGTTTCTTCAATCCTTGATTTGTATTTTTTCTAGTTTTCATTTTAAATATAGGTATACGTAGGTATGTATGTAATAATAATTATAATTTTTAAAATTTTTCAATTTTACGATTTTAAAATTTTTCCTGTTTTCAGTTAGAAAACCTGTTGGTTAGTTAGGTACCTGTTGGATTTTAAATTTTTTTCGTTTTTTCGATTTTTAATTTTTTTAGTTTCTTGATAATGAGTTATCAATTTTTCGACATTTGAATGTTACAGTTTTTCGACCTACAATTTTGACAATTCGATAATTTTTCGATTTTACAATATTTGAGTTTTCCAGAGTTTCGATTCGAATCGTCTTTTCTTCTTTCCAATTTTTCGATTCATTGATTTTTTTCCATCCTTAGGTAAGTTAAGTCGATTTTTAGTTTTTCAGTGTTTTAATATTTAGTTTTTTCAGTTGTATTTGCAAATTTCCGATTTTTCACTTTTTCGTTTATTGTTTTTCGATTTTCCAATTTTTTTCAAATTTTTAGTTTTCTGATTTTTCAATGCTTCGCATTTTCAACTATTTGAATGAAAAAGTGGAAAAACATCAAAATTTTACAATGAAAAATCAAAAATAAAACAACAAAAAAACATAAAATGAGAACTTTCAAAAATATAAAACACTGTAAATCAAGAACACGAAAACCTGAGAGAACGGAAATTGAAAAATCGAAAGACTAAAACTTCAGAAACACCGAAAATCATTTAAAATCGAAATATTGAAAATTATAGAAATAGGAAAATCGGATAAATGAAAATCCAAAATTTTAATTTATTCATTCGTTCGTTTCTTCAGTTTTTCGATTTGAAATGTCTCAGTTATTCTTTTTTTTTTGTTTCTTTAACTTTACGACATAAAACTTTTCCAGTTTTCATTTTTGAAATTTTTTCGATTTTTCATTTTGGATGTTTCAATTTTTAGAGTCGCAATTTTTCGGTTTCCAGTTTTTCGATTTTCCAACTTGGTGATTTTTTAATTTTTCGTTTATTCAATTTGTGATTTGCATTTTTTCTAGTTTTCATTTTGAATGTAAAAATAATTAGATATAATAATTTTAAAAATTTTTCACTCATCATTTATTGGATTTTTATCGTTTCCCGAGATTGGGTCTTTCAGTTTTCACTTTTCAATGTTAGATACAAGTTTTCGACTTTACAATTTTGCTGATTTTTTTCGATTTTACAGTTTTTTGGTTTTCCAATTTTTCGATTCGATTCGTTTTTCCATTTTTAAGTGTCTAAATTTTTAGTTTTTCTGTGTTTACCTACATTTTTATTTCTTCATTTCATCGATTTGTAATTTTTAGGTTTTCAGTTTGTCCGATTTTCCAACTTTTAGATTTTTGAATTAAAATTTTTCGTTTCTTCTATTTTTGATTGTTTTTTTTCTACTTTTCGTTTTATATATGTATAATAATAATTATAATTTTAAAAAAATTTCACTTTTTAATTTCGCGATTTTAAAATTCTTCCTGTTTTTGGTTATTATTGGATTTAAAACTTTTTTTTATTCGATTTTTCAATTTTGCGATTTTTAATTTTTCAGTTTCTCGATATTTAGTTTTTCAATTTTTCATCTTTCAATGTTAGATACAATAATAAGACTTTTACAATTTTGGCGGTTCTATATTTTTCGATTTTACAATTTTTGTGTTTTCTAATTTTTGGATTCGTTTCGTTTTTTCTTCTTTCCAAATTTTCGACTCATTAATTTTTTTCCATTTTTAGTTTTTCAGTGCTTTAATTTTGATTTCTCAAGTTCTTCGATTTAGGATTTTTCGAATTGGCAACTTGCATTTTTCGATTTTTCAATTTTACCTATATTTTTTAGTTTCGGAGTTTATAATTAGGTACTCCTTTTTCAATTTTTGATTTATATTTTTAATAGTTTTCGTTCTAAATATGTAAAAATAGTTATAATTTTGAAATTTTTTTACTTTTTCAATTTAACGATTTTAGAGTTTTTCCGTTTTTCAATTATTGGATTTTAAAATTTTTTCATTATTTGATTTTTCAATTTTTCAGTTTCTTGATATTGAGTTACCTATTCAATTTTTCGACCTTTCAATGTTACAGTTTTTCAACTTACAATTTTGACAATTCGATAATTTTTCGACTTTACAATTTTTGAGTTTTCAAGTTTTTCGATTCTTCTTTCTAATTTTTCAATTCATTGGTTTTTTCGATTTTTAATTTTTCGTTTTTTCACTGAAAAATCAAAAATGAAAAAACGAAAAAACATAATGAAAACTTTGAAAAATATAAAAACTGGAAATACAGAATACCAAAAATTGAGGGACGGATAAGTGAACATCAAAAAATTACAAAATTGAAAAGTTTAGGAAAAAAAAGGAAAATCGAGGAACTTTTAATGTTTATGCGGATATTTTGCTTTCATAGTTAATTAATTAACAGTTTCACTACTTTGTATTGTACTGTTGGCCGAGATGAGACTGGGACTTAATTAAGAACCAATAAAATTAGTCGCTGCAGTAGAGAAGGAGTGCGTAGGCTGGCCTAATTAATTTATTTGTTCTTAGACATTCTAATTGTCATGGTAATATCCGCCTCCTAGTTCATAACCAATAAAAACAACTTTGTCACAGCCAAACAGTTAAATCAAAACTAATCAAAAAGAAAATTAGTCCCGCCCACACCGCTTATTCTTTGTGAGTGAGTTTTTAATTTTTCGACTTTTAATTTTTCAGTTTCTCGATATTGAGTTTTAATTTTTCAATTTCCTTCAAATGTTACAGTTTTTAGACTTTACAGTTTTGATGATTCTGTGACTTTTCGATTTTACAATGTTTCAATTTTGAAGTTTGTTTTTCTTCTACATTTTTACAACTTTGACTATTTGATAATTTTTCAGTTTTACAATTTTTGAGTTTTCCAATTTTTCGATTCGACCCGTTTTTCTTTATTTCCAATTTTTCGATTCATTAATTTTTTCAATTTTTAATTCCTCGATTTTAAGTTTTTCAGTGTTGTAATTTTTAATTTCTTCAGTTCTTTACAAATTCTCCAATTTTCCAATTTTTCGATTTTGCAATTTTTTGTTTTTTTTTCAGTTTTCCGGTTTTTCCACATTTGGATGTGCCAGTTTTTACAATTATAATTTTTCAAATTTTCGACTGTTTTATACTTCAATTTCTCAATTTTTTAGGTTTTTGATGTTTAATTAATTTTCCAATTAAGTAGGTATTACAATTCTAAGTTTTTCGATTTCTCGAGTTTTCAGTTTTTCGTTATTTCAATTTTTCAATATCCCGAATTTTAAAATTTTTGATTTTCCGTTTTCTGTTTTTTTTTTAATTTTTCGATTTTTCAATTTTTTGATTTCTCGATTTATCGAATTCCATGTTTTCATTCTTCAATTTCTCGATTCATTAATTTTTCAATTTTTAACTTTTCTTCTCGGCTTTCGACTCCTCAATTTCTCGATCCCTTGATTTTTCAATTTCTTGTTTTCAATTTTTCAAATTTTGACGTTGCTTAATATTCACTTAGGTATTTATTTTTGATTTTTACCATTTCTTGATTTCTCGAAGTTTCGATTTTTCGATTTTTCAATTCGTCGATTTTTCGACTTTCCTTTTTTGGTCTTTCGTTTTCTCAATTTTCCAAATTTTTTATTTCTCAATTTTTTGGATATTTCTCTCAGTTTTGGGATTTTCCAATATTTTGATTCTCCGACTTTTCGATTTTTCGACTTCTGGGTTTTTCAATGTTTCCATTTTTTTTGGATTTTCAGTTTTTCGTTTTTTAAACTTACGATTTTCCATTTTTCGACTATTTTCTATTTCGATTTCTCAAATTTCCGACTTTTAGATATTTTAATTTTTCAATTTTTAAAATTCTAGATTTTTACAATTTTGACTATTCGATAATTTTTGATTGTTTCAATTTTTGAGTTTTCCAATTTTTCAATTCGATTAATTTTTCTTCTTTCCAATTTTTCGATTCATCACTTTTTTTCAATTTTTAATTGCTGGATTTTTAGTTTTTCAGTGTTGTAATTTTTAATTTCTTCAGTTCTTCGAATTAGATTTCCAATTCTTCAATTTTTCACTTTTTATATTATATACAGTATTTTTTCTAGTTTTCATTTTTAATAAATATGTAATACTTAATAATTTTTTCAGTTCTTCATTTTTCTTGCTTCTTCAATTTTTAATTTTGCAATTTTCAATTTAAAATCTCCAGTTTTCAATTTTTAATTTATCACTTTTTCGATTGTTTAATTTTTCATTTCTTCAAATTCAAATTGTAATTTTTCGTTTTGGTTTTTGTTTCGTTTATTTTGACAATTTTTCGATTTTTCAGTGTCTCAATTTTAGAGTTTGTTTTTTCAATCCTAATTTTCTTAATTTTTCATTTTTTCATTTGTCAATTTACGGTCTTTCAATTTTTCACTTTCCTTGTTTTTTCAATTAAATTAGATTTTGCAATTTTTCGATATTTTAATTTTTCATTTCTTGAAATTTTCATTCGCAGTTTTTCGTTTCCATTTCTTATTCTTCTCTTCTTAGAATTATTCGATTTTTAGATGTTCCGATTTTATACCTTTTTCTTTTTTCAATTTCAGGTTTTTCAATTGCTCGTGTCTTCAATTTTTCATTTTTTTTGTTTCTTCAATTTTACGATAAACAACTCTTCGAGTTTTCATTTTTAATTTTCTCATTTTTTCGATTTTTTAACTTTTGGATGTTTCGGCTTTTAGATTTTTAATTTTTCGGTTTACAATTTTTTCATTTATTCGATTTTTCAATTTTACAGTTTTTCGACTTTACAGTTTTGACGATTCTACGTCTATGTAACAAAAAACGAAAATTATCGAAAATCAAAATGGTGAAAATCAAATAAATCGGAAAATCGCATAATTGAAAATCCAAAAATTGCAAAATTGAAAAATGGGATAAACTTTGCTTCAATCGTGTTAAATTAGTATTATGTACCTACTTAATAATTTCACTACATTGGATTGCACTGTTTGCGGAGATGCGACTTGGATTTAATTAAGAACCAATAAAATTAATCACTGCAATAGAGACGGCCTGTGTGGGCTGGCCTAATTAATTTATTTGTTCTTAGACATTATAATTGTCATTGTAACATCCGCCTCCTAGTTCATAACCAATGGCAACAGCTTTGTCACAGCCAAACAGTTAGATCAAAACTGATCAAAAAGAAAATTAGTCCCGCCCATCCCGCTTATTCGTTGTGACTGATTGATTCTATTTGCCCTCAAATAAGAGATAAATGTAGGTCTTTTAGCAAAACAAAACTTATCTAGTGCGATATTACATAACTTTTTAATATAAAAAAAGACTGATAAACTTATAACACATCTGGGAGACTTGAAAAACACTTTCGATTTTTTTTTATTGGTAATCTTACAAAATACAGTAATTTAAACAAATATACCTATGAATATATTTAAACATATGCAGATACATTTATAGAACAATGAAACAAAAAATGCACAGACTTATTACACAACCATGAGTCATTTCTTTTCAACTTCAGAACATGCACTGACACGAACTATGTCCGCTTTGGGGGCTAAAGAACGTGGACCACCTATAGGGCATTCAATTTTGTTTCTCGTAAGATCAAAATCGTGAATTTTTACATTTTTCAAAAGGTCGACATTCCATTCTTCTAATTCGTTGGACCTCAGATTCAAACCCTGCAAAATTGTTATACCATTGAAAGCACTGTCTGAAATATTTTTGATGCAGTTATGGTCTAGGTACAACGTAGAGTTTTGTGGAATATTCTTGAAACCTTCTGCAGGAATTGTTTGTAAAGAATTATGCGAAAATATAATTATTAGGCTGGGTGCCCCACGGAACCAGTTACTGTCCCATTCTTTCACTTTGTTGTGCCTAACATCAACAAACTGTAAGTGTTTCATGTCGCGAAAAGCTTCACTTTCTATAACGGAAATAACGTTCCAACCCAATATAATGTCTGTGATTTTTGAACCATTGAAAACTCCCTCTGGAACTTTCTTGATTTTGTTTCCTGTCAGTATGATTTCGTACAAATTAGGCAAATTACGCAAGTCACCTGGTCGAAGTGTGGAAATAAAATTGTTCGCTAATCCCAAAGTACCAATACCTTTGCAGTCAAAAACTGAAGAGTCTATTTCTGCAAAACGGTTGTTGGTCAAAAACAAACGTATTCCAAATTCGTCGTATGGAAACATATCAGCGAAGGCTCCGATCTCTATCTTAGAAATGTTGTTTTTCCCCAGCAGGAATTTCCCCACAGTCACATTTTGAAAGACCCCCCGCTTCAGTTCGTGCAAACGATTTCTTTCAAGGGTTAGTTGTGCTACATTCGATAAATTTTGGAAAGCTCCTTCATGTAGAACCGAAATCAAATTCCTGTGCATGAACAACGACACAACTTCCAGATTTACAAAAGTTCCAGTTTTAATTTCGTACAAATTGTTGTCGCTCAAATCTATGGTGTTAAACTTTGGCAAATCTTTGAAGGTTCCAGGCTGAATTTCTTCCACGTGCACATTTACGATTTCGAGTTTGGACAGTTTGGAGATGTCCTTGAGGGAATCTTGGTACAGAATTTTCGCTGACCCTTGTAGTTTGATGCGCTTCGTCTGATCGACATTTTCGGGGCAACTTTCTTTGATTTGGTGTGTGGAAGCGTTTTTGACCACTTGTGTTTCTTCCCACGAATTGTCAACGTAAAGATAACAAGTTATGACCGCACTGCCACCGGTTGCACACACAAAAGGCGAGTTAAAAGCGAGAAAAACAATAATGCATCTGAAGTTCTTCATGACAGCAACACTTTGAACTTCGTCTTGGTTGTCGGGTTATACTTATATATAGAAAAAATGATAATCTTGTGACACTGACGATGGATATGCGATTTGACCTGCGATGGCCCCATCAAGATAAATTTAACAAGAACCACTTAACCGTTCTAGACGTAAGTTCGGTGGCTCTGACAAAGTTAACTTAGAAGATTTCTGCTATCAATGATATTATTTTTCTAATGCTTTGCTAATGCTACTGAATTTAATAGACGTAATTTAAATTTTGTATCCTCCGTTTACGGTTTATATGTCCGTGTTGAGTTTTACCTTAGACGTCAAAATTTTTGGAAAAAAATCAACGACATTTTCCATATTATAATTCTTGGAAGCATGTTAAATCGTTAGTCAAAATTTAACCATTCATGCCCTCAGGAATTGTCATCTTAAAATTTTGTCGAATAAATGTGTGATTTTTATACTTTTCAACTTTGGATGTCTCAATTTTTCAATGTTTCAAATTTGGGCTTTTTCAGTTTTTTTGTTCTTCAAATTTTCGATTTCTCAAATTTTGTCATCTTCAATTTTACGATTTTAGTTTTTCAAATTTTGATATTTTCAGTTTTCCGATTTCTGAAATAATCTCTTTTTTATATTCTCCCATTTCGCGACTTCCCAAACTTTCGATTTTTCCAATTTTTCAATTTTTCGATTTTTCAAGTTTTTTTTTTCAATATTTCGATTTTTCGACTTTTCGATTTTTGGACTCCTGGATTTTTTGATTTCTCGGTTTTTAATTTTTATACTTTTGGGCTTTTCAATTTTTGGATTTTACTAATTTTTCGGTGTTTCGACTTTTCAGTTGTCCGATTTTCCAATTTTTCACTTTTTTAAATTCTGGGTTTCCATTTCTCAATTTGTCGATTTTTCACGTTTTCGATTTTTAAATTTTAGATTTTCGAATTTTCATTTTCCGATTTTTTGATGTTTGGATTTCCCGATTTTTCAATTTAGCGATATTTTAATCGTTCAATGTCTTGAATTTTAGATTTTTCGATTTCTGGATTTTTTGATTTTTCAGTTCTTCAATTCTTCGATTTTTCGACTTTGCTTTATATTTGTCATTTTTTCGACTGTTTTATATTTCGATTTCTCAAATTTCCAACTTTTAGATATTTTAATTTTACAATTTTGACTATTTGATAATTGTTCAGTTTTACAATTTTTGATTTTTCCAATTTTTCGATTCGATTCGTTTTCCTTCTTTCCAATTTTTCGATTCATTAATTTTTTCAATTTTTAATTCCTCGATTTTTAGTTAGGTATTCAGTGTAGTAGTAATTTTTAATTTCTTCAGTTCTTCGATTTCGATTTCCAACTCTTCAATTTTTTGGTTCTTTTCAGTTTTCCGGTTTTTCCACTTTTGGATGTGCCAATTTTAACATTAAATTTTGTAATGTTTCGGTTTTCTATTTTTCCATTTTTTAACTTTCAGATTTTTGCATTTTTGGTTTTTCAATTTTAGATTTTTCAGTTTTGCGTTTTTAAATTTTCATTTCTTCAATTTTTATTAGTACCTATTTTTTATAGTTTTCATTTTAGAATTTTTCCTTTTTTCAATTATTCGATTTTAAATTTTTTTCATTAATTCGATTTTTTGATTTTTCGATTTATAATAATTTTTCAGTTTCTCCATACATTGAGTTTTCCAATTTTTCAACCTCCTTTGAATGTTACAGTTTTTCGATTTTACAATGTTTCAATTTTATAATTTGTTTTTTCAATTTAAATTTTTTCAATTCTTCAATTTTTAATTTTGCAATTTTCAATTTAAAATCTCCAGTTTTCAATTTTTAATTTATCAATTTTTCGATTGTTTAATTTTTCATTTCTTCAAAATCAAATTGTAATTTTTCGTTTTTTAATTTTATTTATTTTTACAATTTTTCTGTTTTTCAATGTTTCGATTTTATAGTTCGTTTTTTCAATCCTAATTTTCTCAATTTTTCATTTTTTCATTTGTCAATTTGCGGTTTTTCAATTTTTCATTTTTCTTGTTTTTTCAATTAAATTAAATTTTGCAATTTTTCGATATTTTAATATTTCATTTCTTGAAATTTCGCAATTTTTCATTTCCGTTTCTTATTTTCTTTATTTTTTCAATTATTCGATTTTTCAGTGTTTCAATTTTATAACTTTTTGTTTTTTTAGTTTCAATTTTTTCAATTTTCCATTTCTTCAGTTGTCGTTTTGCGATTTTTCAATTTTTTATTCTTCTTGTTTCTTCAATTTTTACATTTTGCAATTTTTCGTTTCAGGTTTTTCAATTGTCCGTTTCTTCAATTTTTCAATTTCATTTATTCGAATTTTCAATTTTTTGATTTTTAATCGATACTGAGTGTTTCAAATTTTCAACCTTTCAGTGTTACAGTTTTTCGCCTTTACTTTTTGTAATTTCTTCAATTCTTCGATTTAGCAATTTTTCCTTTTTTCAGTTTTCCGGTTTTTCAATTTTTTCGACATTTTAGTTTTTCCATTTTCAACTTTTCGAATAAAAAAAGGAAAAAAAATGCAAAATTGTGAAACTGAAAAATCCAAAATTAAAAAACGAAAATGATCGAAAATAGAAATTGTGAAAATCAAAGAAATCGGAAAGTGGGATAAATTTTGCTTCAATCGTGTTAAATTATTACTATTTACTTAATAATTTCACTACATTGGATTGCGCGTTTGCCGAGATGAGACTTGGATTTAATTAAGAACCAATAAAATTTGTCGCTGCAATAGAGACGGACTATGTGGGCTGGCCTAATTAATTTATTTGTTCTTAGACACTAAATTGTCATTGTAACATCCGCCTCCTAGTTCATAACCAATGACAACAGTTTTGTAATAGCCTAACAGTTAAATCAAATTAATTAAAAATAAAATTAGTCCCGCCCACCCCACTTATTCGTCGTGAGTGATTGATTTTATTTGCCCTCAAACCAACGATAAATATAGGTCTTTTAGCAAAACACTTTATAGAAATTGATGTTCCAATACACGGTTATTAGGCTTCCTGCGATATTATATAACTTTTTAACATAAATATTGTCTACTGCGCTGCCCAAGCGAAAACACTGGTAAACTTATGACACGACTTTGGGTTATCGTCGAGAAAATTTTGCAGAAACCTAAATAAAAATGTTTTGTAACATCTGCCATCGAGGATTATATAAATTTAATCAAAAATTAATTTATAAATCGTGTACAATCAACTAAGAACTACTTTGCATCAAGAAATTAATCTTTATTGTCAGACGACGTAAAAAGACGTTTGGTCGTTTTCTTAGCCGACTTGGAAGCCAAAGACACACTCAAATTCAACCTCTCCATCAGCTCCGGTCGCACTACGCAGCAGTAAACCCTTGGGTAGGAACTCGTCATCCAAACACACGTCTCCACCTCACAATCTGGCAGAATCACGGCACTGGAAAAATTCATACTGTTGTCACCAACCACCATGGAGCTGTCTTCCTTATCGTGAATATCCGTTAGGATCTTAACAAAGTGGGTTGGAACCGCAAGTCTCCCTTGAACCAAGCACTGCGTACCATACGTCGTACTTAGCACATGCGTAGTCAAATCCAAATGTTTATTCATCAGGTCTCTGACTTGTTGTTCCACTTGTGACCAACCTCCGGAGTACAAGTCGTGAACTATGGGTGCGGCGTTGATGTAAAAGTAGGTATCGCTTTGTTGTTCGGTGGTATTGAAGTCACAGGGTGGTACCAAGTGGCCGCGGTCTATATTTACCGAAGAAATAGAATGGTACAGCAAATCTGGGTTCTAATCCAGGAAGAAGTCGGATTTCCAGGGGTAGGACGAACAGCTGTCGATGGTACGGCCTACGATGTGTTCGGTGTAGATAGTTTGATGGGTATCTAAATTAAAGCAGACCCGGATCTGGTTCGTGGTGATTAGAATGATGACCCCTGTTTGCCCGTCGGATCCGGAGCAAGTCTCGTTTGTCAGAATGGTGTTACCATGACCGGTACCACCAGGACAAGTTTCCTGGTTGGTACTCGCTAAAATGGTTAGAATAAAGTTCGACTATGTACAACGTAGGTCACTTACTGGTGGTTAGAAGGCAAAGGAAGAGCAGAAGAAAAGCGCCCATTTTTGATACTCAACTGATTAAGTTTAGACACTTGCAAGAATCAAGTGTTATCTTAGCGATAAGATAATTCCAAATTTAGGAACGTTCACAAAAATATTTTTAGCAAAGGAGTAGAGATCTCATTGAGTGATATGCTGACCGGGATAAAAGTCCAGTTTTATGACAAGCTCGAGTGTTTACAAACTTCTTCACACTTAGTGAATCCCACGACAAAGTTGCGACGCGTTTTGCCAACATGGCCGGTAACATCAGGATAACTGGTTGTCATCATCTATACAACTAGTTGTCCTGATGATGCCAACCTTATTGACACAAATATGCCTTATTTATTGCTTTCGGGTTCTGACTGTAGCTGTTTGGCATCTAAATCGGATTATGGATATATTTTCAAATAAATAAATAAATGAATAAATAATGATTTATTGGCCAACAGAATACTTCCATTTACAAGACAAATTAATTACAACTCTTAACCAATAATAAGATACAATAAAACAAAAATATTAAATTACCGTCCTAGCTTACACTATCTTATCAAAAACAGATATACTTATTTTTATATTCGTCATATTTAACGTCGTCGTCTACAAGTCTGAAAATTTGCATAAGTTGGTGATTAAGCGTGCACTGATAAAGTATTCCCTCATTACTTTCAGAAAAATGAGAAGGAAAAACTGTACACAAAATAAGTAAAAACGTAGTGTCCAGGCGGACGTCCTGTTATTAACACCCACGTATGTTTCATTTTCTACATTTTCTAAAATAATAATCTTGAAAAAGTAGGGGAAAAGTGCCTAAAATGATCCCCTCAGGTCAAATGATCCCCATCAATTGTAAGAAAATTTGTGGCTCCATCTACCAA